TGGAACAACAGACTGGTTCCAAATAGGAAAAGGAGTACGTCAAGACTGTATATTGTCACCCTGCTTATTTAATTTATATGCAGAGTACATCATGAGAAACGCTGGGCTGGAAGAAGCACAGCTGGAATGAAGATTGCCGGGAGAAATATCAATAACCTCAGATATGCAGATGACACCACCCTTATGGCGGAGAGTGAAGATGAACTTAAAAAGCCTCTTGATGAAAGTGAAAGAGGAGAGTGAAAAAGTTGACTTAAAGCTTAACATTCAGAAAACTAAGATCATGGCATCTGGTCCCATCACTTCATGGCAAATAGATGGGGAGACAGTGGAAACAGTGTCAGACTTCATTTTTTTGGGCTCCAAAATCACTGTGGATGGTGACTGCAGTCATGAAATTAAAAGACGCTTATTCCTTGGAAGGAAAGTTATGATCAACCTAGATAGCTATTAAAAAGCAGAGACATTACTTTGCCAACAAAGGTCAATCTGGTCAAGGCTATGGTTTTTCCAGTGGTCATGTATGGATGTGAGAGTTGGACTGTGAAGGAAGCTGAGTGCAGAAGAATTGATGCTTTTGAACTGTGGTGTTGGAGAAGACTCTTGAGAGTCCCTTGGACTGCAAGGAGATCAGTACTGGGTGTTCATTGGAAGGACTGATGCTGAAGCTGAAACTCCAATATTTTGGCCACCTGATGCGAAGAGCTGACTCATTGGAAAAGACCCTGATGCTGGGAGGGATTGGGGGCAGGAGGAGATGGGGGCAACAGAGGATGAGATGGCTGGATGGCATCACCGACTCGATGGGCATGAATTTGAGTAAACTCCGGGAGTTGGTGATGGACAGGGCAGCCTGGCATGCTGCGATTCATGGGGTCGCAGAGAGTCGGACATGACTGAGTGACTGAACTGAACTGAAGGGTTTATGCTTACACCTTCTTCTTCATTAGTTATCGGCACAAGAAGAAAGCCTTTTGAAAATAAGCTAAGCCTTTAAAAGACACTAATAAAATATCTTGAATTTTGAGTTATGGAATTTGTTAAAAATATCATAAAAGATAAATGACATAAATGGACTGAGTCCTGACTGAGGTGGGAAACCTGTTCTAGTCCTGGCTCAAGTCACTAAATGGGGTCACCCTGATTTAGTCAGAAGCACAATGAGCCCCAATTTCTTCACATGTCATTTGAGGCCATCTATATTATTGCAGACATGGTGGGGTTTTGACCACTGAAGACTTGTGGGTACCTCTCTCCATGTTATATTAGATTGAATTGCATCCATCTATTTGTGTATATGCAGGCATTCCTGGGAGATATTTTGGGCTCGATTCCAGACCACCATGATGAAGCAAAGAATGCAACAAAGCTAACATCACAATAAAGTGAATACTGTGATAAAGCAAGTCAAAAAGTTTTTGATTTCCCACTGCATATAAAAGTTTATTCTGTAGTCTATTAAGTATGTAATAGCATTATGTCATATAAACATTGTGCATAACTTCATTTAAAACTATTTTATTGCTGAGAAATACTAGCCATTACCTGAAAGTCAGAAAATCATCTGATTTTCATTATCAGAAAGTTAGCATCTTTTTGCTGATGGAAGGTCTTGCCTTGATGTTGTTGGTTGCTGACTGACCAGGGTGGTGGTTTCTGTGGCAGTTTCTTAAAATAATACAGGAATGGAGTTTGCCATATCCCTTGACTCTTCCTTTCACTTGAACACTTTAAGAGGCTCTTGTAGGGTTATTAATTAGCCTAGTTTCAATATTATGGTGGGTATCTCAGGGAATGGGGAGACCCAGGGTGGAAGGAGCAGGATGGGGAACAGCTGGTCAGTGGAGCAGTCAGAACATACACAATATGTATTCTTTGTTGTCTTATGTGGGTGCAGTTCATGGTGCCCCAAAACAATTAGAATAATAATGTCAAAGATCTCTGATCCCAGATTGCTGTAACAAATACAACAACACTGAAAAAGTTTGAAATGTTGTGAGAATTAGCAAAATGTGACACAGAGACATGAAGTACCAAGTGCTGTTTTGGAAAAATGGTGCCAATAGACTTGCTCGATTCAGGATTCCCCCAGACCTTCAATCTGTTTAAAAAAAAAAAAAAAAGGCAGTATCTGCAAGTGCAGTAAATGAAGTGCAATAAAATAAGGTCTACTTGTACTGTGTTAGTGTCCTAGTACTTCCATACAAAATACCAGGCTGGGAGGGCTGAACACTAGCATTTATTTTCTCACAGTTCTGTAGCCCGTGAAGTCCAAGGTCAGGGTGTCAGCAGATTTGGTTTCTTCTGGGGCCTCTCTCCTTGGCCTGCAGACCTCATTGTCTCACTGTGTCCTCACATGGTCCTTCCTCTGTGTGAACATCCCCAAGGTCTTTCCGTGTCCATATTTTCTCTTTTTTTAAGGACACTGATCGTAATGGACTACGGCCAATTCTAACAACATCGTTTTAACTTCATCATCTCTTTAGAGGCCTGTTTCCAAGTAGAGTCACATTCTGAGGTATTGGGAGTTAGGGCTTCTACAGATGAATTTTGAGAAGACACAATTCAGCACATGATATCTATTTAAAATAGCATTCATTTGTTTTAAATTACATGGAGAGAGACTAATACAAAGAGAAAACCAAAAATAGCCTTCCTAGTTAATGCCTGTTATTTAAAAGCAGTGGGGGTGGTAGGTACATGAAAAGATAACTCAGACTATATTGAGGGTGGAAAAGGAAGAGTGACACCCTCCTAGCCCCCTCCTCCCACTCTAAGGCGGCTTCTTTAATTACATTTACACAAATGCATGTTTACTATAGGGAGTCCAAGAGCATTTTTTTCTCGGGCCCTGATGTATCATCCAGAGGACATATTATGTCTGCACATGCTCTGAATTAGCCTTCTTTTAAATGGCTATCCAATATTCTATTGTGTGTGTATCAGATTTTTATTTAACTCGTCGTTTATTAATAGACACTCAGGTTGTTTCCAACCTCCTCAGCCACCCCCACCCCCTGCCTTTATAAACAGTGGAGTTCTTTTAAATACCCATCATGGAAAGAATAGTAACAGGTCACCTAATAAAAATAATTGGCACCCAATTTTGGTGACAACAGCCTGTGTTTATCACCTTCCTGTTTCTTGGTTCTTACTGGGATTGTTGTGAAAGGTGCTTGTCTTTCTCACCCTCCAGTCCCTTCCCGAATGCTAGTACCTCTTCTTCCTGCGTAATGTGAAGGGAGGACCCTCCCTGGGCACCCTGAGGTCATCTCTGTACAGCGGTCCTTCTTCCTCAAGGGGAAAGGCTCTCCCAATTCAACAGCCATGGCTATTTCTAGTTAGGCAAAACCATTTTTCTTGCAAGAATTGCTGTTTCTGTGTCCACAATGACACATGAATCCTTTCTGCCTGCTCCGACCCTTTGGAGAGGGGCCAGTTTTCTAATGGAATGTGAACAGTCTTACTTCCAATCAAGATTTACAGCTGAGACCAGGATGCCCAGCCGCTCATTGGATTTGCAGACCCTCCAAGGTAACAGCAGAGGCTCCAAGATTAAGTGCAGAGCAGCGGCCCCAGCCCTGTTCTCTAGGCCCTCTCTCTGTCCCCAGACCCAGCCTCTTAGCCACAGGTATCATCTGGTGGCATTTTATAAGCTGTGCCACCGTGCAGATGTTCTTTTCTGAAGAATTACTTTCATTTCTGACTCATTTCAGGAAATGAGGCAGTCTATCAGAGGTGTTCTTCATTTCCAGACCTCCAGAGAGTTCATTTTTCTCCTGGGATTTCTAACCACATGTGGGCAGTGCTTTATTTACCCAGATGTGGGAAATAACAGTAATGAACAGCCTTCATCTGAAGCAGCCCTTACATCCCTGAAGAATTCCATGTGAGGGCCCAGAGGTAGCTTATGCTCTTATTAATGTAAATATTTCTGAGACTTTGGTTTCATGATGCTTGTGGACATGCTGTGTGTATGAGCTTGGTGCAGGCAAAATATAATTTAGCAACAGATTTAAAAGGCAGTCTGGAGTGTTTCTAATTACTGTTTGTTTAGTTCAGCATTGCCTAATAAGTGGATTTAAGTAACCTTGGGGGTAGGGAATGTAATGTTCATATTACAGTCAGCCATGCAAATCAGATTCAGAGTATTGCAGAGAACACACCGTGGAGTCATTTTATAGATGCAGTTCATGGAATTTTGAATTTAGAACTGAGAACATTTTGGAATGGACATTTTCTACCTGTCATGCATCAACATGAATTATACACATATCCAAAATCAACCTTAACTGTGTGATACAACTCTGTGTAAAATCTATTTGTAGCATTTGGCACTCAGTTCTTCTTTTAATTTGACACAAAAATTCTCATTCTTATGGGAGAAATGGACTTTTCTTTCTTTCCCTTTCCCATCTTTCATTGGCCATATTGGAAACTGAAGTCACGAGAGGGCCTAGAACAGTGGTTCTCAACCTGGGCTGCACCAGGGAATCAGCCTGGGAACCTTCAAAAAGACTGATGCCAGGGTCCCACCCAAGAGAGTCTTGCTTAGTTTCTGGGAATGCAGGCTACACTGGGAGGATGTGACGGTGCACTAAGGGTTGAGAACCACAGGCTTTGAGAGCTCATCTCACCCAGTGGTTCTCAGCCCGGACTGCAGGTAAGGATCACCTGGAAAGCTATTGCAAAAAAACCCTGCTGTCTCACCAATTAAAAGCACATTTTGCAGGGGATCCAGGATTTTTAGAAAGCTCCCAGACAATTTCTGATGCACAGCAAGGGTTAAGGTCAACTGATACAACCTAGCCATTCCATATCATAGATAAGGAAAAGGAGAACTGGAAAGGTCAGATGGCTTGCTCAAGGTCAGATCCCAGTTGTCCTGGTGCGGGCAGGTCTGGAATTCAGGTCTGATGCCTTTGACTGGTCTGTCTGCTGCCTAGCCTGGCCCAGGCGTGTTTGTTTGTTGTATTTATTGATGCCTCCTCATCCTTTAGGTAATGTTCCTGCCTCCACGAGGCCTTTATTGGCTCCTCCCGCTCTCCCATCCAGCCTGGGTAAGATGTCCATCCTTTATATTTAACAGCACTCTCCTCACCGTTCCCCTCAGACTGTCAGCTCTGGAAGGACAAGATCCATGTCTTTCTTGTCCTTTTGGTAATTTGCTGGCATAGGAGGAAGAAGTGCATGCTCAGTAGTGTCGTCTTCTTCACATGCCAGCAAGTTAATGAAAGGACAAGAAAGACAGGGGCCTTGTCCTTCTAGAGCTGACAGTCTGAGGATAATATTTGGTGAATTGAAGTTCCCTAACTTTTTATTTGCCAGTTAACCCTCTTGAGTTGTTAAAAATAATCTACTCCTTTTGAAAATAGCTTCTGAGAGCAAATGTTATTGTTTCCTCTCCAACCGCCCACTCTGCTATGGGTCAGGATCTCAAACACAAAGACTGCCCACCCGTGCCTTGCAAGAGAGAGAGTTGGGAGGGGGAGAGTTTATCAAGGAGATTTTGATGACAGAATAATGAAAGCAAGATTTCTGTGACTTTACCTGTTGCTCAGGGTAAAGCGTGTTTATAACATCTAGGGACTTCCAAATAACGTGCTTACAAGTGTGTGTGCTGGCGGTGGTATAGTCACTAAGTCGTGTCCAGCTCTTGTGACCCCATGGACAGGAAGTCTGCCAGGCCCTTCTGTCCATGGGATCTCCAGGCAAGAATACTGGAGTGGGTTGCCATTTCCTTCTCCAGGGGATCGTCCCAACCCAGGAGTCAAACCTGGGTCTCCTGCATTGCAGGCAGATTCTTTACGACTGAGCTACAAGGGAAGCCCTACACACAAGTGTGTGTAGCATCAGTGAAAGGGAGCACTTAGTGTTACCTTAAGACAAATTGAAAATAATACTCTTTTATAAAAAAGTTTTTTAAAATTTCCTTTATCATGTTGTGTATATAACTGAGTGACCACATCCACTAGCATAGCTGAATTAAATCCTTTGGCTTCTCTGGGTTAGTATTTTAAAGTCTGTTCAACTGATTAAAAGACTACTGGGGAGATCAACATGGCAGAATAGAAGGATACAAAACTCACTCCTCACATAAGCATATAAAAAATTATATCTACAAATAGAATAATTCTCGCAAAAAAAACCAACCAGACACTCGGGGAAGATCTCTTAAATGACCAGAGCTGCAAGAAAGATCCCCATGGAACTGAGTAGAACTGAAATTAATGAGACCAGCTCCTCTGGCAGGGATCTATAAAGGAGAGTGTCTGCACAGGCAGGCTGCTTCGTGAAACTCCTGTGTCTGCTGGGACGCCTGCCAGGATGGATGGGGAGCTGGAGGGGCCTGGACTCTGCTCTTGAGGAACGTGCACATGCTGGCTTGCTAGCAGTCAGGGCAGAGTGAGTCCAGGACTGACACTGATGACTGCCACCTCGCTGCATTTCCAAGCCTGAAATGCATGCCAAGCGGGGGCAGCTAGTATGTGCTAAAGTGCTAAAACTCCAGCAAAGGGACCCTGGGAGAAGACTTGGTCTAGCTTCATGGTGACAGCCTGGAGGACTTGAAGTGTGGTCCATTGTTAGTGTGAGTAGCGCAGGATGTGGGTCCACCAGTGGACCTCCACTGCTATTGATAGCTACCTCAGAGCAGGGCTCGGCTCTGGTGGTTTATGCTTTGTAAGCTTGTACAGGGTGGGGGTAGGGCTGACACATGAGCTTATTAGCCGTCCAACTGTGGGGGCATGTTTGAATAGCAGTGGACTTTGTTTATGTGCATGTGACATGGCTGATGGCATCACAGAATCCCGTGTCCTCGGTGGACAGCCCCAGGCAGGAGTATGCAGCAGTTTCCTCCTCAGGAGTATTGTACTTTCACCCACCTCACACCAAAGCTTGTAGGTAGATCTGGGGCGGACAGATCTAGGAAGAGACCTGATACAGAGGCAGCGTAGGTCCCAGGCCACAGTTTAGTCACCTTAGTTTTTGGAGCCACAAGGCTCTGGCCCCTCCACCAGCTTAGCACTAGGTCTGGGATGAATATACCAGAGAAGTGAATTTGACCTTGGCTAATTTGGGCAGAATCTTGGATACCTGCATGGGAAGCACATAGGTTCACTGTGACCACATGGGTCTCACTTGCTTCAGAGCTCATCTCCTTAGGGGCAAATTATATATTTAAGGGCGGTGGAGCTTTCTTGAACTTGACCCTCAGGATGTCTGCTCCAACAGCTGTGGAGCAGACCTCACAACTGAGAGGACTCTGACAGCCACTAAGCGAAGAGGAGGCACTGCCCAACACCCAGTGCAGGAACTGGACACCAGAATGTCAGTCACACCCCCTTGCAAGGGGATAATGCCCAGCACGCTCTGAGGAAAGATGTGGCAGGCATGAATACCAGAAGTAGCCCCAGCAGCAGAAATATTGGACACCCTACACAGGAATGGAGGTACTCAGTCGCTCAGTCATGTCTGATTCTTTGCAACCCCATGGACTATAGCCTGCCAGGCTCCTCTGTCCATGGGATTTTCCTGGTAAGAATACTGAAGCTGGTTGCCGTTTTCTCCTCCAGAGGATCTTCCTGATCCAAGGATCAAACCCATGTCTCCAGCATCTTCTGCATAGAAAAGAGACAAGAATCTATAGGAAAGGGAAAAGTCATAATAGGAAAGGCAAATATATAAAATGATTGAAGATCATTTAGCTAAGCCAGTACATAGGTTAAAAAGAAAAATCACAATTTTTTTTGTGTGTGAAAGTAGTTATAACTACAATTAATAGAAAAGATAAACAAGAATATGTCAGATAGGACCTCAAAATCGCAAAATGTGGAGGGAGGGGAGTAAAAAAAAAAACCTTTTGGAATGTGTTTGAACTTATATGATTAACAGTCTAAAGCCAGTAGTTACAGTTACAGATCAACGTACTTAAAAACCAGAGTAACCACAAATCAAAATTATATAGTAGATTCATAAAAATAAATAACAAAGGAACTCAAGAATAATTCAGGAGGAAACCATCAAATCACAAAAGGACAAACAAAAAGAAGAAATGAACAAAGAAAAATTACAAAGTCAACTAGAAAATTAGGTTTAAAATGGCACTAAATATGTATTTATCAAGAATTACTTCAAATGTCTTTGGACGAATTGCTCTGAACAGAAGACATAAGAGTTACATATTGGATTAAAAAAAAAAAAACAACAAGAACCTACAATATGCTGCCTATGAGGGACTCATTTTAGGTTGAAAGACACACATAGGTTGAAAGTGGGGGGATGGAGAAAGATATTTCATGCAAATAGAAACTACAGGAAAATAGGGTTGGCAATACTTATATCAGACAAAGTAGGCTTCAAAACAAAGTCCATAAAGACAAAAAAGGGATGTGGGGGACACATGTACACCTGTGACTGATTCATGTCCATGTATGGCAAAAACCAGCACAATATTGTAAAGTAATTAGCCTCTAATTAAAGTAAATTATTTAAAATAGACAAAGAAGGACAATACATAATGATAAGGATTAATACAAGAAGAGAATTTTATACTCATTAACATATGTACACCCAGTTTAGAAACGCCTGGGCTTCCCTGGTAGCTCAGGTGGTACAGAATCTGCTTATATTGCAGGAGACCCTGGTTCAATTCCTGGGTTGGGAAGTTCCCCTAGAGAAGGAATAAATTACCCACTCTAGTATTCTTGGGCTTCCCTGGTCGCTCAGATGGTAAAGAATCAGCCTGTGGTGCGGGAGACATAGGTTAGATCCCTGGGTTGGGAAGATCCCCGGAGGAGGGATGACAACCCACTCCAGTATTCTTGCCTGGAGAATCCCCATGGACAGAGGAGCCTCATGGGCTATAGTCCACGGGGTCACAAAGAGTTGGGTACAACTGAGTGACTTAAGCAGAGCACATAGAAGGACCTAAATATGTAAAACAAATACTAACAGACATAGAGGGAGAAATTGACAGAAATACAGTTAGAGACTTTAATACCACTCTGACGTCAATGGACAGATCAACCAGACAAAAGTAATAAGTCAACAGAGATTTCAAATGACACAATTTAACTTACTTAATATATAGGACACTACATCCAAAAAATACCAAATACACATTCTTTTCAAAGTGCACCTGAAACATTCTGTAGGATTGACCACAAATTAGGACACAAAACAAGCCCCAACAAATTTAAGGGGATGGAAATTATTTCAAACATCATTTCTAAGCACAATGGAATGGAACTAGAAATCAACCACAAAAAGAAAAACAGGAAAAACAAAATGCATCAAGGCTAAACATCATTATTCAGTAAAACCAGTGGATCAGTGGTGAAATTATAGAAAAAATCAGAAAATTCTTCGTCTAGTGACAATGAAAACACAACCTTACCAAAATCTGTAGGATGTAGCAGAAGCAGTTCAAGAGTTAGAACCAGACATGGAACAACAGATTGGTTCCAAATTGGGAAAGGATTATGTCGAGACTGTATATTGTCACCTTGCTTATTTAACTTATATGCAGAGTACATCATGGGAAATGCCAGGCTGGATTAAGCACAAGCTGGAATCAAGATTGCCAGGAGAAATATCAATAACCTCGTATATGCAGATGACACCACCCTTATGTCAGAAAGCAGAGAGGAACTAAAGAGCCTCTTGATGAAAGTGAAAGAGGAGAGTGAAAAAGCTGGCTTGATACTCAACATTCAGAAAATGAAGATCATGGCATCTGGTCCCATCACTTCATGGCAAATAGATGAGGAAATGAAACAATGACACTTTATTTTCCTGGACTCCAAAATCACCGCAGATGGTGCCTGCAGGCATGAATTAAAAGACACTTGCTCCTTGGAAGAAAAGCTATGACCAACCTAGACAGTATATTGAAAAGCAGAGACGTTACTTTACTGACAAGATCTGTATAGTCAGAGGTTTTTCCAGTAGTCATGTATGGATGTGAGAGTTGGACCATAAAGAGGTCTGAGTGCCAGAGAATTGATACTTTTGAGCTATGGTGTTGGAGAAGGATCTTGAGAGTCCCTTGGACTACACG